AGGGAGGGGGGGTTTGGGTTGGGGGGGGGGGGGGGGGGGGGGGGGGGAAGAATGTTACCACTGATTCTTTTTGTACCCACCCTTGTGTACAAAAGTGGTATAAAGACGTGATCAGATCTTACAGTTTACTAAACTGTGTGTTTTGGGATTAACATTTGCACTCTCTCTTTGTTTTTCTGCTTTCTCTCATTTTGATCTCTCATCTCTCCCACAGATGCAGTTAATGGTGGATGAATATAAGGCAGCTAACCTAGCCGCCTCTAAGCTCTGTGAGAGGATCAGTGAACTGCTTTTGGTGCGTGTGGATGGCAAGATGGTCTATGGAGACCTGGAGTTCCAGGAGGATCAGCAGAGTCATCAGCGTAGCCAGCTTCTCCGACTGCAGAACGCTCACCAGGACATTATCAAAATCATGGCCAGTGTCTACGGGACCTACCACCTAGATGGCCCAGAGGTTGGACTCTCTGTGTGTTGTGTCTTAGAATATTTTCTACTAAAGAAATAAGCTTTTTGAGATTGTGATACAGTGATGTATATGTTGCTTAAGGAGTGATGTTTGTGTTAAATCAGCATAATGCACAACCTCAAGTGGCTTGAGGTTTTCATGGTGAGGACTTCCCATTGACTTACATATTTGTGTATGTTTTCAGGTGCAACAGTATTGGGTGTCATACATGGAGAAGATGGACCGAATGGTTGAGGAGGAGTTTCGTGTGAATATAAAGCGCTCACTGCAGGAGCTCTCTGAAGCCGTCAGTGGAGATGACAAGACATCCCCAAACCCTTTATTCAGAGTACAGGTGGTACTGACACAGCAGACTCATCGATCTCTTGCTCAGGTACACAAAGACAGACACACAGAAACTCTCTGTTTGTCAAATCTAGTAATGCAGTGGCCATTGATAACATTGTTTATGTGACAAGGTGACCCTTACCTCACATTTAGACTCCCAAAACCTTACCCTCTGATTTCAAGGCAAAAAGTACAAATAAAAAAACTGTGCAAATCATTGTGTTGGTCATGGAGAGCTGCTGGCCATGGGTTTTACATACAGAATAAAGACACTATCATACATCAAGCAGAGGGCATTCAGAATACCACAACCTCTATAAATCACAGCTGTGGCAGCACTGCTGCGTCATTCAGCACTCTACTCTACTGCTCAGCTCTACAGAGGTATATTTGGACTGAGGCCTATGGGTAATGTTCCATGATGCTTAGTCAGCGAAACACAGTGAGAAAGAAAAAGCAGAAATGTTAGTTTGACTTAATTGAGTGTATTATAGGGACAGTGGTTGCATTGGTCTGTGGAGACAGACTGCCTCAGGCAAAGCGCTCTAAGTGCCAGAGGGAAGGGAAATGCATTAATGCTAGCTTAGGACACACCATTAAAGGCCCTTTCACACTGAATGCAAAATGAATAAGCAAAAAAAATTTGATGAATGGTCTGTTCACACCAAGCGAAACGAATATCCATCAGGCTGATTGACAAACAAATTCATGCTGGTACAATATTTACTGCGACACCTTTTCCAGCTCTCACAGAGGAGACAATTATAAATGGTCACCGAAACAACAAGATACTGGACAAGCTAGTAAGATCAAGATTCTGTCATATTTCAGCAATAAAAGTAAAAATTGGTTCTAAGACTCATAACTCCATATTTGAGAACTTTTCTACATTAGCAGAGTCAGAGTGGTAACATCTACATACCTCTGTGATGAAACTCCACATGAGAACAGACAAAACATTGTTAGGCTATCTACATGAAAAGTGATCCAGTCCTCATTAACATATAATTAAATTATTTGCATTTTTGTGTGTATTTCTGATTCTTTTTTAATTCACTTACATGTTTTGTTTTGTTTTTTTCCTTAAAGCTGTGTTTTAATGTGTTCACTACAATAAAACAATCAAATACACTAAAAGTTTGAGGGATGTTTATTTAGTCAAAAATACCGTAAAATAGTAAATATTTACAATTTAAAATTAACTGTAATATATATTTTTAAATGTAATTATTTCCTGTGATGGCTTAGCTGAATTTTTAGCAGCCATTACTCCAGTCTTCTTTGTCACATGATCCTTCAGAAATGATCTTCTTATGCTTATATGCTGATTTGTTGCTCAAGAAAAAAAAAATTCAGAGATCTTTGAATATGTATATTCTTTGAAAGTTCAAAAAACTGTATTTCTTTTCAACATATAAAATCATTTGTAACATTATAAATGTCTTTACTGTCACTTTTGGCACAATTTAATGCATAATTACTGAATAAAAGGATTAACAAAACATACTGACCCCAAACTTTTGAACGGTAGTGTAAATAAATCACAAAATTAATAATTCAATTAAATTAATTTCAAGTTTATTTGTATAGCACTTTTCACGATACAAATCGTTGCAAAGCAACTTTACAGCAAATTATGTTTCTACAATATTTAGTGGTAGCTTGTCAGTGGTTGACTGTCAGTTAATGTACATATGGCAGAAATGTACGGAAAAATCAATTAAAGACGTAATCAATTAAAGACGTAATCAAACAGATGAACACTATTAACAGCAATTATTATATGATGCAATCAAACTTATAGCAAAGTTTGGTAGTTCTGTATGTTGTTTCAGGGTTGGCATCATCTGAGGTCCTCTGAGGGGTTGGCATCATCTCTTCTCAGGTGTTCTGGATCCAGACTGAAACTTGTGTAAATCTTAATTACCACGGGATGTCAATTTTCATGAGACAAGTTGCTATCTAATATAACACCCAGATATTTGACTATAGAGGAAGTAACAGTACATCCGTCTAGTTGCAAATTGTAGTCCAAGAGATTCTGTGTACTGTCTTTTGGTCCAATAAGTAATATCTCTGTCTTATCCGAATTTAATAAGAGAAAATTATTGGTCATTTAATTTTACATTTTTAACACACTCTGTTAGCTTAGATAATTTAGAAGTTTCATCTGGTCTTGTTGAGATATATAGTTGAGTATCGTCAGCATAACAGTGGAAACTAATCCCGTATTTTCTAATAATATTACCAAGGGGCAACATGTATAATGAAAATAGCAGAGGACCTAGGACAGATCCTTGTGGCACTCCATATTTTACTGGTGATAATTGAGATGACTCCCCATTTAAATGAACAAAGTGGTAGAGATCGGACAAGTAGGATCTAAACCATCTTAAAGCCTGCCCTTGAATACCTGTATAGTTTTGTAATCCATCTATAAGTAATGATCTATAGTGTCGAACGCAGCACTAAGATCAAGTAAAACTAGCAAGGAGATGCAGACTTGGTCTGACGCAAGAAGCAAGTAATTTGTCATTTTAACAAGTGCCGTTTCTGTGCTATGGTGGGGCCTGAAACCTGGCTGAAATTCTTCATAGAGATAATTTTTTTGCAGGAAGGAGCACAATTGCCCAGACACCATTTTTTCTAACATTTTACACATAAAAGGAAGATTTTAAATGGGTCTGTAATTTGCCAGTTCACAAGGATCTAGTTGCGGTTTCTCTAACCTTTTTCGATTTGACGGTTTGATTTTGATTTGATAGCTTCTAATGTATTAGAGAAGATTAGTGCCCATGTTGCTAGTCATTTTGTCTAGTTCATGTGTATTTATGGGTACACAGAGCAGTTGAGATAAATCAGGCAGGTTATTTGTGAATCTGTCTTTGGTGGCTGGAACGATAGTTCTGCACGGACGATAACGCGGAGCCATAGTTAATATCAGTAATACGCAGCATGCACGATACAAGGATATGGTCAGTAACATCATCACTTTGAGGTACGATATCTATATCAGTAAGATCAATTCCATGCAATATAATTAAATCTAGTGTATGATTAAAACGATGAGTGGGCCCGGTGACGTTTTGCTTGACTCCAAAAGAGTTTATGATGTTATATGTTATTATGTTTATATATGTTATCTTTTTCCACTCTGTGTGTTTGTGTTTGTTTGTCCAGGTGGATTTCTCTCCTTCTCTCCAGAAACTGGCCCACATAGTGAACAGCTTTAGCTCTCAGCTCATCAAGACCATCTCAGGGTTCAAACGTTTGCCAGACCTGCTGACCCGCCAGCACTCACAGCAAAAACCCATCCACAGCATCATCGGTATACACCCTCTCTCCATCTCATTCACCACATATCCCCTACATTTGCCATTTATGCAATCCTTATATTCCTGTTTACTCACCTTCATGTCATCCCAAACCCATATAACTCTTTTGTGGGACACAAAAGGAGAAATTATGAAGAATTGTATGGATCCACTCTCTTTATACAAAATCCTCCTTTTGTGTTCCACTGAAAAAAGGAAGTGAATGACACCTGGGTGACTGAATGATGACAGAATGTTTATTTTTGGGTAAAATATCCATTCACATCATCATTTGTATATTTCTTAAAGTCATCAGCGGCTGTTTGGCATCAACAATGCTTTCTGTGTTGTTCTCACTTCCTTCCTCTTTTTCTGTTTCAGAACAAGATGAAGAGATCTGTAAGATCCAGGGAGCCCTAGCTGCAGGTATGGTGACTAATGCATCTTACCTGCAGACCTACCTGAAGACCTGGGACAAACACAGAGGATCTGGGAAATTGAAAAAGACGGCTTCATACAGCGCTACCAGCGGCTCAGCCCTACAGTAACCTCCTTTGACGCTGACGTAGCCAGGTCTGTAGCTTTAACTGTGGCAGTTGTCGATTTAAAAGTATGCACATTTCCTACCTTATTTGTAATTAAAATTCATCTCCAATCCTTCTTCTATCATTTCAGGTTTATCCATTGTTACTCGAATGCAAGAAAAATATAGCTGGTTTTCCAAGTAAAAACCGCCAAATAAGGTTACACGTAGTTATGTTATTATACGTAATCAGAGGGTGGGGAGATGGGGGGGGGTGGGGGGGGGGGGGGATATTTGTTAAAATATTGCAAAGTAACGTTGCAACCTTACAAACAATAATAAAATCAGAGAAGGACTTCAACTAAGCGACACGAGCATACGCAAAATATGATGTTTGTTATTATTAAAATTTTATACAGCCCACGTTTTTATTAAAAAAAATAATAAAAAATGTAAGTTGTTCAGTGGACTTTTAAATTTGCTTTGCTTGAGAAAATAAAAATATACAGTTAGGGTTTTTTTTCTTTTGATTTAGTCGAGGTGGTTTTGTGTCAAACACAATGTAATTTTCGGCAATCGAGATCTGGTTGCTGCGCATTTTTCCTCTTGGGCGAGCGCTTCACAAACAGCTTACCTTGCCGCAGACCAGCAAATCACTGAGAACACGCTATAATCCTGACGAGTCATAGCAACAGAGCCGAGGCGAGAAAGCTGCGGAGAATCCGCTCGCCCGGAAGCAGCCATAACTGACGTAGATTTATAGAAAATTACTGCCGTTTGGCAAAAAAATCGTTTTGCGTACTTATTCCTAACTCTTTAAGCTTTAAGTTACATTTCAAATGACAAGGGATCAACTTATAATTGTTTATATGAATTATCCCGTGAACTTATTCTCTCAAATGGCCTGGGTATGCGGAGCATTCGCAGCTTATATGGACAGAATGCCACTGCTGTATATACTAGTAACATTTTTGAACTTATGAATTATTTGCAGTGCTACTGATAAAATAAGTTTCTTTAGTGAACAAATGCTCTAAAGGATTCATCATGTTTCTCTCACCATCATACATGCATCTCTTTTCATTTAAAATGCATGAGTAGTGATGGTACACTAGAGGGGTGTGTTTGAAGTCACGTGAGAACGATGTGATGGCCTTTCAGACTATTGATGTGTCTGTAGCACAGAGGTGCCATTCCTGAGGGCAGGGTCAACAACTCTTCACTATAGATTTGATCTGCACTCGTCAAATCGTTATCATGTCAACGATGGATGCTTGAGTGTGTGTGGATCGGAAAGTGGGTGTGTGCAGTGAGACACAGACTTTGTGTGTGTGATTGTGCATTAATGACCTTGTGCATGCTGGAAGGACACTTGTGAATTGCCTGCTGCCCCTGTTAATGTCAAAAAAAAAAATTTCACATCAAATAATGCATGCACAGACACATTTTATTTGAAATTACTATGGTTAATGTAACTTCTTGCTTTATTTCCTCACACTCACTCTGAGAAACATATGATGCACTTCCTTTATTTTCTTGAAAAACAAATTTAATTTACAGTATGTTATAGTACTGAGATGACAAATTAAATTGCTATTAATAGGGCAGCCGTTATGCGTGAGCAAATAAAAAATAAAAATAAAAAATCAAATTACATTATCTTACAGATCAATTTAAACAAAAGTCATTTAGTGGCCATTAGTAATAATTTAAATCATTGTCTTTTAAAATGTACCAACAATAGCGTTAATGAGAATATGAAGTACAGATACAATTACAACATCCTCAGGAAGAAAGAATTAAGAGACAAGCATCCAAGTGTCCATCTTTGAACTCCATTTACAGATTTATCAAGAGAAAATACATCTTTATTTGCAAAATCGTTGCTTTCACAAGACAGCAAAAAGTGTGGCAATGTTGAGAACTTGCATAATAAACACGAAGTGGTTTTCATTATATTATCCCTGTAGTCATGTTAGAAATGTGTTTCAAAACTTTAGTAATAAAAATAATATAATTGATTAATATATAATAGATGAAAATATAATGATGTATTTATTTTATAGATTTATTATGCTCAACATAAGAAGAGTGGGCTGATCCTCTCCTCTGAGGAGTTTAAGAAGAAGACACATTCTGCCCTACAGAGCTTCAGTAGCAATGGTGAACACACACATACTGTACACATCAACGTGAGAGATTTGAATGTTATAGAATGGGAAAACACACACACGGTTAGTAGGATGACTGCCAGTGCTGTCTCAGACCCTACTGTGAGCTTCACATCCCAGCATGCCTCTTTTTCTGTAGGTCAGTTCGCTACATGGACGGCACCGCAGGCCTTTGCTTTCTGGGACCGTGGGTGTTCTGCGTAGTGGGGAGTGCTGGGTAGAGCCATCAATGCCCCACGGCACATCACAACCAATTAGCCTTGAGATAATGTTTCAGAACGCCATGGAGCCTCACCTACAGCAGAAGTGACCATCACGCTGACATCCTGCCCTTGACTCCAGTCTCAGCCTTTCTGCCTCCCTGGTTCTTTCTTTCTCTCTCTCTCATTGTCACGTAATGCTGCTCCACCTCCTGCTGGTGTCTCTGCACTGTTTATTCTGTGCTCTATTAAAAACGGGATTGAAAAATATTTTTTTTTCTGTCTCGCACTGCCACCTCTCTTCACAAACAAAGTCACGTTGTGCCGAACTGTATCAAAGCGGACAGAGTTTTCGTCCTACTTTTCCTTCCCTCCTCTTTCATTCTTCCCTTTTTCTTGCACTTCTTTGCTCTCTCGCTCCCCATCTCATTTCCATTGTGTTTGCGTTACCTTGTGATTGTTGATAGCTCTGTGAAGTCTGTTGTTTTTCAGTTTGATCTCCTGCCATTCCTTCTCTGCGTCTTTTTCTCCTATGCTCTTCTCCTCCCAGTATGTATCCAAAAGCCTTTCCGTCTTGATTCAGACAGAGTTGGAGTTTTGGCACAGCCGATTAACGTGAAAGCTTTGTGCTAAATCAACACGTGGCGAACACGCTCAACACTCACCATCATTATTTCCCACAACCCCAAAATTTCTGAACTTGTTGAGAACGGCGGGATTGTTTGGATTGTTCCTGCAAACAATGGTGGGCTCCTTCAGGTTAATGAGGCCAGGAACCAGCTTTGTGCGGGGAAAAATTTGTATTCAAGGGAGAGAGACCGTTTCAATAATATCACACTCATTCAGTCCAAACACACTACTGGCTCCTGCCAAGGTGCCCCTTCAAAATCTCATCTCCTGCTCTCCATGGACCCAGTGTGACTTTCCCTCTCAGATCCGGCACTGAGGAAAAATACAACATTGCATTTCTCAGCGCAGAGCCAATTAAACATGTATGATTGGTTGAAGTCTCCAAGGCAGATTTATCAAAAATGTTGCACATTTTAACATTTGCTAATTAGATTTTCTTTACGTTTTATTCAGGCACAACGGAGAGAGAGAATGGGCGTCATCAAACCTCTCAACACCCATGCTCCTAAATTTGTTCTGCTCCAGCGACGCACTTCAGCATGTGCTAAATGCTTCAGTAAATCAGACTTTACGCAAATATTGACTGGAGATCCCCGATGGATCTTCACACGCTGTTTAATGGCTCGCCTTAATGCAGAATTGTGTAAATGTGTGTTTTTTGTAATTGCTGGAGATGGAAGTGTGCAATTTAGCCAGTACGTTTGATGGGATCCATTATAAACGCTGACAAACGTAAGCATTCGCACCTGTAAACATATCACAGAGGCCTTTGGGGCAGATAACGACCCCTGCTGATGTCTGTGTTAGTGCGTTCCTGTGTGTTACTGTACACATTGTGTGTCGCCGTCCTGAGATGAACGAGGCGCTTTTCAAAAGATCAAATATCTCATAAATCAAAGCTGTCACAAGTGCTCGTGGATCGTGGGAGTCCAGGCTTATGAGTGGAGCTGGGTCCGAGCCAGAACTCACACTCTGCTCAGGAAAGAGACCTACCTACTGACCTGCTGAGCTCCCAACTGTGAAACCACATTAATAGCACATTGTGAGAAACATGCTCACTTTGCTAACTTTCTGGCCAGTAGAATCCATTGAGCTTTTTTTAGAGCGACAATTTGCTTTCTGGGGAAATGACAGCTGAATGTGCAGTTTTTTAATCATTAACCATATGCATCTGTATGCTTGTGTGTGTGTTCTTCATATGTCTTTGTCTTCATGTATATGGTCTTATTTGTGTGTTTATGTCTGTGCAGGTCCATTTGGCAGCAGTGTAACCACAGATTCTGCACTGCAGCAGGTGTCAGAGCTGCGTGCCCAGTAGGAGGCTCTTAAAGAAGAGGAGCAGAACATACGCTATGGTCTCAACATCTTTAATATTGAACAACCAGCCTCTAAAGACATCCTCACTCTAGAGAAGGTGCCTGTTCGCTGCTGTTACAGTAATAATAATAATAATAAAAAAACGTTTTTCCATACAATAAATCACAGACACACAACGCATAGCAGCTCAACAGTATAAACAGGCTGAGGGCGATTCACTGGTCCTGTGTGACAGCAAAATTGAACAGTATTGATACTGTTGGTAAGGTCACTTCTGGTTCAGCTCTTGTTTTTCAGTTTGATCTCCTGCCATTCCTTCTCTGCGTCTTTTTCTCCTATGCTCTTCTCCTCCCAGTATGTATGTATCCAAAAGCCTTTCCGTCTTGATTCAGACAGAGTTGGAGTTTTGGCACAGCCGATTAACGTGAAAGCTTTGTGCTAAATCAACACGTGGCGAACACGCTCAACACTCACCATCATAAAAAACGTTTTTCCATACAATAAATCACAGACACACAACGCATAGCAGCTCAACAGTATAAACAGGCTGAGGGCGATTCACTGGTCCTGTGTGACAGCAAAATTGAACAGTATTGATACTGTTGGTAAGGTCACTTCTGGTTCAGCTCTCTACAGACCGAGGCCATGGACAACACTGCCCAGACCATGTTCAAGAGACTCCACACACTCAGAGAGAGTTCAAGGCAAGTCAGCACAACATAACCTACACCACTGTTGTAAACTCAACCAAGCTGACTATGGGAGTTTCTAATAAATAATGTTAGTCTTCAGAATAGAACAACATTTATTTTTTAAGTTATATAATTCTATATAATTTTTAAAAATGTGTTAAAATATATCACTAAAATAATACATAAATATTTAATATAAAAATAAAATATCAATACATTAAAAATTGTTTCAAAGTTCAGTTCAAAAGTTTTGGGTCAGTAAGATTGGAAGTTTCCACAAAAAAATCCAGCAGCACAACTGTTTTCAAACATTTTTATTTGGCTCCAAATCAACATATTAGAAGGATTTCTGAAGGATCAGTTGACAATGAACACTGGAGTAATGGCTGACAAAATACAGCTTTGTGATCACAGGAATAAATTACATTTGAAAATATATTCAAATAGAAAATGTTATTTTAAATTGTAATAATTTTTCACAATATTACTGTTTTTACTGTATTTGTGATCAAATAAATACTTTATGCCTTGGTGAGCATAACAGAATTATTTCAAAAACGTAAAAAAGGTTACTAACCTAAAACATTTAAATGGTGTTGTACATTGTATTTTTTTTATGTTTTTTTACTCTTTTTGATTTGCTAATGTACCTGGAAGTGATGCACTTCATCATCATATTTTATGTTTTCAGCACTGCTGCAGACTCTTGTTTCTTTCCAGGTGTTGTAATATGGGTACCTTAATATATATATATATATAAATACAAATAAATATTTATTAATATGCACATTTAATTTTTTTATTTAATTAAGCATCACAATTAACAGGTTGAGTACTAAGACCTTTTAGAGACCCTTCACATAAAAAAATCTAGCAGCCATCAGGACCCACTTAACTGCTATCAGCAGTGTCAGTGATGTCTCAGTCTCTCACTCATCTTCCACTGTACTCACACACATACTGATGCTACTTCATTAGGGTCCAGCAGAGACTCTCATTTCTTCGTTTCTCTTTGTAACTGTGATAAAAGCCCTTTTGTGTAGCTAATTACCCTTTAAAGCTAATTTAGCTTCTCTTCTCACCAGCTTCTCATTATCCTGACATTTAGCTTTAAGCAGATTAGAAACACCTGCTTGATTCAGACCCTTTGGGTGCTTTTCCACTGACAGGAGATCAGTCCATCACAACACAGCACTCAGCATTTTACACTGCAGCCTGCAGTAGGATCCTGACTGTGTTCTTTCAAGACAAGCACTGGGAGGTTGTGGACTTCTCTAAGAACAGGATCAAGCATTTTAAGAATATCATCCCACTGATCAGAGACCTCAGGAATCTATTCATGAGAGAGAGGTGAGTGTCCTCAGCATAATGAAGTGTCATTTTCACACTAATCCTCCTTATCGAGAGTGGTTACTGACAAAATGACACTCGTCTTTCATGTTGTCTCTTCAGTGGACAATCGCTCTTCGCAACTTCTCGCTGTTCGGGATATTACCCTCTGTAGCATGTGACCTGTGGTCTGCTGTAAAGTCCGGCTGAGAATCATCAGAGGCAGAGGTTTGGTGCCAATTGCAGTTCTAGGATCAGCTGTAATCCCACACTTTGACAGCTAGCCCTCAGTTACAGCTTGTCACCTCTCCTTTCTGTCACGCAGAGCGTTTGTGCACTCTGGCGCCATCCCTGCCGAGAGAAACGTGACATTTTCCCACTCTACGTTTTTCTTCTGCCCTGTCATTCGCTCCCTAAGCCATCTGATTGGATCTGGCATTCCCAAAACAACAGCCCATCGGCCCCAATCAGGCGTGCTACACCATCCCTGGTGGAGACGACAGAGACAGGCCTCACGTTCCCCTGATGACAGCCGGCTAATCACACTGATGTAACCCTCTGAAAGATCCCTGTTAGCATCTCCCGCTGGCCGGCGCAGCACATCGGGTAAGCAGATGAAAATAAACAGAGCTCCAGCCTCAGAAGTCCATGACCGACAGAACGGGAGACAAGAGGAGTAAAAGAAACACAGGCACTCGTAGGAGAGATCTCATCCCAGAATGCTTGGGCCCGATCTCAAAGGGGCCAGTCATTGGCAGGATGTTTTTTTTTAAATAGCGGTGTTGTGTTTTGTTGTGGATCAGATGTACTGACAGTCTCTTTGGATTTCTTTGAGAGAAGACAAGCTGTGCGTCATGGCTGTGGGATCTCTCATGGGAGAATTCAATCCTTGCGCTGTCGTCAGCCATCACACCTATTTATTATGACAAAATCTGACTGTCAACATGACCAGTCTTTTGTGACTAAACAGTGCAGTGGACTGTCTTTCTTCAGCTCTTGAAATACTCAGAATAGCACACATTCTCTATAATTTTAGTTTAGGAACTTCAAATCGTACTTTAATTTCTTTCTCCTAACGGCCGACACAATAACTCTATTGAGCTGTATAAGCATGGTACATAGACATATTGACCTATATAAACATTGGATAAGATCATCTTTTTTTAATTACACTGAACTTTTTCTTATATATAATACTGAAAATTATTTAGAAAAAATTAAATATTGTAATATATGAATATGTATTCCCATTTTTTTTTTTCCCACACTATATTTTAAGGTCCAATTCTCGCTATTAACAAACCATTAACTACGACTTTTGCCTCAATAAACTCTGCTTATTAATAGTTAGTAAGGTAGATGTTACGTTTAGATATTGGGTAGGATTAGGGATGTAGAATATGGTCCTGCAGGATATGTGCTTTATAAGTACTGATAAACAGCCAATATGTTAATAATAGGCAGGCTAATAAGCAGTTAGTTAATAGTGAGAATTGGTCCCTATGCTAAAGTGTTACCAACATTTTTTTATGTATTTTTTCTAAATACTTCTCAGTATTGAAATTGTATTTATTTTTTATTTTACTTCAATGCAATGTATTCTGGAATTGCCTTTTTTATGAAGGATGCATGTGATGCAACTTTAGCATTTGGACAAATTTTAGGAGACAGCATAATTAAGTTGCCTTCCTTTTGGAAAAGCCTTCATCTCGGTAACTGCGTCTATGTTGTCTTAAAATGCTGGCCTGTAGGCAGCTCATTAGGTTTTGTAATAGATCAAATGGCTTTGATAAAAAGGTTTTTCCACCCTTTGAGCTCAGATTCATGTGTCAGTGTTAAACCATCTTGGCCAGTCAGATTTTATCTTCAAAAGATGGTTTGGATCTGTTTGTTTTAGACACTGGGATCAAATAAGACAAGAGGTGCAGCAGACATTTGACCCAACCAGTGCAGACTTCACTCTGGAGAAGATTGTGGCTTTGGGTCTGGACCACCATGCTGAGCGTATCAGTGACATATCAGGAGCGACCAGCAAAGAACTCTCCATAGAACAGGTATGAAATCCCTCTTCAGAACTCTTTCTTTCTCACGTGGATTAATTTATTTCCTTTTGTCACTTCAGACTTAAAATGATTCTTCAGTGAAACATTTTACAGAGAACAGTTTATAAGACCATAGTTCTTTTCTGAATCTAAAGTGCAAATAAAGCTCTTTTTCTCATCAGTTTTTCCTCTGTTTGAGGTTTTTGTGTTTGCCACTGTATATAGTTTATTAGAAATGAACAATGTCAACTTATTAGTTGTTAGATTCTTCAGATCAGTGCATTGGATTTGGGGGTTTTAAAAGCAAAAGATAAATCAAATTGTCCCTGATCCTTCGAGAGAGTATTTGGAAACTTACTGAAACTTTCACTTAAAACATTGTGGAAACCTGAAAACCAAATTAGGACATTATAAATGGACCTCATAGGAAAACATTAAATTATTAAAAAGCATATAATATGAGTCAAATCTGAGACTGTAAAACTGGAACTGTGAATTATTACTTGAACCTTTATTTTTAAGAGTGTCTTCCTTATTCACTTTTGTTTCTATTTCTTTTGTCTCTATGAAGGACTGTAGGTTCACCAGGGTTCGATTCTCTGTGCTCCTCTGACAGTGCATAAGATCCTCAGAGGTTCAGTATGTTAAAGAGAAAAGGAAAGTCACTGTCAGGAGGATTATGGTCAGAGGTCAGGTTTGGAAGGTCAAGGATAATATCCTCAGGGTGACATCTGGTAGTCAGACCAAACCCAGCAGAGAATCCCAGCAGAGAGCTCCAGTCTAAATGTCTGGCAGCAATGCAGATGTGGTTTTCATTAGCCAAACAGTTTGAATGTAAAAGCAGTGGTGTTCATGAGTACAAAGCTATCAGACTGCTATAGGGTTATACTTAGTCAGATTTTTTTTTAATTTTAAAATTAGGCCTGTTTCGCACATTGCATTTGTAGCACTACAGGCACATGCTCTTTTTGGTTCCCATTTGGTACACACATTACAGCATTTGAGCACATGAGCAGCAATAAAAGTAGTGCTTCAGTGCTAAGCTTAGTTTTGCTGCATGTCATTACTGCAAATGGAAGCCTGTTTCTGTAATTGTGTGAAGAAGTTTAAAAAAATAACTATAACCACATTGTGAAATAAGTCACAATTATGACAAGTATATTTACAATATTTAATATTTACAAAGTTTGGGCTTTTAAATTTTTATTATTACATTTTTGTAATTTTTAAAATAACATTGAGTGAATTAAAGTCACAATCACAAGAAATCAAGTAGCAGTTACCTTTTTACACTACCATTCTAATGTTTGAGGGATTGTTTTTAAGAAGTTAATGTTTTTATTTAGCAAGAATGCAATAAATGAAAACAGTGTTACAAAGTTTTAAATAAATAAATGCTTTTCTTCTGACATTTCTATTAATCAAAGAATCCTGAAAAAAATTCATCATGTTTTCCACAAAAGTATTACGCATGCACATGAATAAATTACATTTTGAAATACATTCAAATATAAAAGTTATTTTGACTTGTAATAATATTGCACAATATTTAACACGTTTTTAATATTTCACAAAATGACCTTGATGACCATAAGAGACTTCTTTCAAAAACATTTTTAAAAAGCTTACTGATTTCTGAGCTGTAGTGTATTTATTCGTTTTATACTCTGATGCAGAGTATAATGCAAAATGTTGAACATGTACTATAAACCTTTTTATTAAAACTGTATTTGCTTTTATGAAGCAACATAATACCGAGAGAAGAATAAGTCCCCTATTGCTTGAAAAACACCTCCGTGTCAAGTTGATGCAATTCATAAAGAGCACTTTTTATTCAGTAAAGATTGACTGAATCCAGACACTTTAAGCAGTTTAAAGCTGTGTATTGGGTCCTGTGTAAACCATTTGGATAAAAATGTCATTCCACCTCCTCATGTAAATTAGATTTCATGGCTATCAAGTTTGTAATAATTCTCAATGGCCCACTTCCGATATCCATTATATTATTTGTATTATAATTTATGGCTGTTTTGGAAGAAATATGCAATGTAGTAAACTAGCAGTCACTTTATTTTCTACATAGAGCAGTTACGAAGCAGAAATGCCTGTAGTGTAAAAGCTACGTGCTGCAGACACAGGATGTGTGAAACAGGCCTATGAGTCAACTGGTTTATAGTCCTATTTTAGACTTGAAAAGGAAAATTTCCTGGACTGTGTTCAGTAATAGTGCAGTACAGTATGAGTGCAGTGCTGCTGGAGGCGTCTGTCCCCAGGCTGCAGTCGCAGGTCATGTGTGGCGGCCACAGGGGAAATGAGCCTTGCGCTTAATTTCCTTCAGCGCCGCCTTTACTGCCCCTGCAGAGGAGAGCTGCCCTGTCCAGCTGTCAGACTGTGGGAGGCTGTACGCCTCCCCTCTCTCCCACCTTCTTCCTCTCTTTCTTCTCACTTTCAGCCCAGGGAGATTCCCAGATGTTCTTCTGTGCGCTCGCAGAGGTTACAACAACACTGTAGTGTAAAAGCTACGTGCTGCAGACACAGGATGTGTGAAACAGGCCTATGAGTCAACTGGTTTATAGTCCTATTTTAGACTTGAAAAGGAAAATTTCCTGGACTGTGTTCAGTAATAGTGCAGTACAGTATGAGTGCAGTGCTGCTGGAGGCGTCTGTCCCCAGGCTGCAGTCGCAGGTCATGTGTGGCGGCCACAGGGGAAATGAGCCTTGCGCTTAATTTCCTTCAGCGCCGCCTTTACTGCCCCTGCAGAGGAGAGCTGCCCTGTCCAGCTGTTAGACTGTGGGAGGCTGTACGCCTCCCCTCTCTCCCACCTTCTTCCTCTCTTTCTTCTCACTTTCAGCCCAGGGAGATTCCCAGACGTTCTTCTGTGCGCTCGCAGAGGTTACAACAACACAGCTTTGGTTCAAGAGGGGAAATGGGAGAGCAAACCCTCATAACCCCTAAAGCACAAAGCGCTTCACCGAGAGCGAGAGAGAGAGAAAAAGAGAAAGACAGATAGAGTGTAAATGAGAAGCATTGTTGGCATGGTGCATGGCGTTAAATGTCCCTGGACATCACACCCTACAAAGACAAAGGACACCACAAACTGAGGTGAGAAGCCAGAGGTTCCAGAATGTCAAACGTCAAAAGGTTACAGACACTCAGGTGCTCAATAAGCAGAATCTTAAAAAGATGATAATGATGATTCAGTGTCCTGAGGTGGCAGAGATTCTCTGTAAGAATCTGATGGTCTATTCACACCATAGTTGATGCAGCTAAACAAAAAAGTATTTTATTTGAATTTTTTTATTTTTTCACAATAGAATTCATTTGCAGCATAATTCCCTTCAGAAAAAGAAAACACAAGAACAAAGTTAGCAAAAAAAAATCCCATTTGCCCATGTCTGAAACACTTTGTCTTCCCTAGCACTTTGCGACAGCCTACAGCCTCCACCCGCAGATTTTCCATCTTAATTGGGTAGTTGTCCTAATTGCCTTTGCCTAATTGATATATTGGATTGTTTTTTACTGAGACTTAATTGTACCATAACTTTCATGCATGTCCATTCGAGGGGTAATTGCTGAATTGGAAAAAGAGAAAGACAGATAGAGTGTAAATGAGAAGCATTGTTGGCATGGTGCATGGCGTTTTTGGAAAGACCCCATCTCTGACATTTATTGTAGGGGGGACTTTGCAGGGGCCACGATTAATTGTATTTACCTGTCACTAGTCGCCTAAGGTCCTTACAATATTGGTGGCTCCCTTTTCAGCTCTAAACGTGCGGTCGCATGCAATTTTTGGCCAAATTTTGCAGACAAAAATGGTTAATTGTCTATTGTCAGTGGTATAGCAATGTATGATTCATGGCTCATACAGAAGTCACTCAAAATCATTCTCACATGACAGTTCTGATTGTATGGAATCCTTGAAAAAATGGATTTTGTCCACTGAAAGTGGCAGAATGTAAATGTGACTTTAATACAACAAAATCCCATCTAGATAGGCAGCTCTCATTTTGAGAAAAAAGCTCAGCTTTTGAGAAACAACCAAATGTTTGAGCATTTATATGTACCTATGACCCCGACTAGGTAGGTTTCTGACTAGATATTGAAACATTTTGCAAGACCTTTATGGTGCACGAAAGTGTTTTCTACGTAGACAGCTCACTATTTTTTAATATGCAGCTATAGCTTTAATCTTTAAATGCTCTTATGATGGCCAAAAATGCTGTCTAGTTTGTCAGCACACTATATTTGAAACATAGCAAATGTTCGGACATGCCTATAATGCCGATAAATATTGTCTAGGTGAGCAGCTCAGTGGAATTTAAAAGACAGCCAGTGTTTAAATGTTTGAATCATGTCCAAAAATACTGTCTAGGTAGGCTGCTGTCATTGGCACATGTCTGGTGTTTTTAGAAAGACTCCATCAATGATGTTTATTGTGGGGGGGAACTTTGCAGGGGCCCCAATCAATGTTCTTTCCTTGTCATTAGCCGTCTAACGTCCCCATGAGATCGATGGCTGCCCCTCCAACTCTAATACAATGTGCCATTCAGTGCTGAGGTGGAATGTGTCTGGAAAGATCAGTGCTAACATTAAAAAGCCTAATGCTGACCTTTGATTTTCAGACACTGGAAGGCATCATGAAGACATGGGAGGAAATGTCCCTGGACATCACACCCTACAAAGACAAAGGACACCACAAACTGAGGTGAGAAGCCAGAGGTTCCAGAATGTCAAACGTCAAAAGGTTACAGACACTCAGGTGCTCAATAAGCAGAATCTTAAAAAGATGATAATGATGATTCAGTGTCCTGAGGTGGCAGAGATTCTCTGTAAGAATCTGATGGTCTATTCACACCATAGTTGATGCAGCTAAACAAAAAAGTATTTTATTTGAATTTTTTTATTTTTTCACAATAGAATTCATTTGCAGCATAATTCCCTTCAGAAAAAGAAAACACAAGAACAAAGTTAGCAAAAAAAA